AAAATAAAAACTTGCTGCCATCAATCAAGGCTGATTCACAGCTGACTATTAGTGGGCTGTTTCTGAGACTGTAACTGTTTACTGGATTAGAATGCTCAGGCTTTCTCCCGCAGAGCGGGGAGCTATGAACTGCCCAACATGTGGAACACTCTCAATGCATAACCACTACATCATATACATATACACATACACATACACATACATGTACATATACATATGATCAGTATCTACATATAATTGGTATAGATATATATAACTGGTAGTCATTTGAACCAAGTGATAAAGGAGAGGATATTTATAATTAAGAGATGTTCCCAACCAGTAGAGAAATGGAAGGAGGATGCAGAAAACATTCTCTTTCAGATACAAATACTTAAAAGATGCTGGTAGTGACAAACACGTTTATAAAAACTGGGTTGAAACAAAATTACTAAGACATCTTATTTATAAGAAAATTCTGCATTCTTTATTAACTTATATTGCCTGTGTACTTTAAACTTACCCAAATTGTAGTATTTCACGTTGTCTCCCAACGTAACTTTTGTCAAGTCCTTCAAAGTATCATTTGCATCAATGATGCTCTGAGCCTTGGAAGCATGCCAAAATGCCATGAATCTTGCAATGAATGATGCCGCAAAGATCGCTAACATGCCAAAATCAAGCATATTCCATAATTCAAACAAGTATTCCTTGGGGCCTTGAGTCCAGATTTCTTTACATTCAGCCCATATCATTCCTGTATCAGAAAGGGGTTGAAATGCCAATTCAATTTCAATCTAGCCTTAGCTAATCAATGAAACACAACAAATATGAAAGGCCTCAGTGTAACATGCAATATTCTTCAAAATATGGCTGTAACCTACTTATATACGGTGATACCCCAGTTATTGAACTCAATTTCTTCCAAATACATGTTCAAACACTGAAAAGGTGAAGAACGACATATTTTTCCCACAAGAAATAATGGAAAACCAAATAATTGATTTGAGGCCCCACAAGTACACTTATAAATTCATTTTTCTCGGACTTTACATCACTATGTAGGCCGTTAGCCTTCTCACAGACCACTGTCTTGGACATGCTATCACCATCCAATTGGTTCTGATTTATCCTAGTCAACAGCAACTTTTCAGCCTCTTTGATGATCTGGCTTCTTGGTTTCATTGTTAACAATTTAACACCTTTTTCTTTAATATGCCATTTTAATCACTTTTTTAAAATGTTGATAATGTCAACGTAGTCATGTTGTATTCAGCCACCAAATCAGACAAGCGGCAACCTGATTCAAATTCTGCAAGGATTTCTTTCTTTAACTCAATGGTGGTTAGCGCAGTTTTGCTGTTAGCTTTACTGTGGATACCACGAACTTTCTTTGGTGCCATGGTTATGATGTTTCACGCAATAAAAAGCACAAGGAGTACTGTTCAACACACTAACACAAGCACTATGTGTTGTTTGTGTGAGAGTGGTGCTTAGCCTGAAGCGTCACCCCTTTGAGTCCACCGTGAGACGCAATGCAAGACACACTCTCTACCTAAACAGGATTTTTCAAGTCAGACTTTTAGTTCAACTATTGGCAAAGTTACAAACACTGAGGAGTTTGTTTTTTCTAACTTTGCTGTTCGAGTAGTAGAAAGTTCAAATTTGGAGCCATTTGACAACTGAGGTATCCACTGTAGAGGTAATTCCCACATCCTCACAAACCCTACAGTTCATCAGCATCAGTGTATTTTCTGAAAACAGTTTGACAAAAGTCATCAATAACCTGAAAACAGTAGCTAATCTGTTGACCACTTAATTCTTGATATAAAAAAAAATCTATTAGAATAGGTACTAGGATTTTTTATAATCAAAGCATAATCAAATTTTTTATAATCAAACCACGCCTGAGCTCACCCATTCCTCGGAGACAGTGTGCTCCTCTGCTGGTGGATTTGGGCTTCAGAACTTCCTGATCTCTTTGTAGAACATTGCATAGACTGCATGGAAATCTTAGATGCTTCTACCTAAACTTTCTCTCTCTGCTTGGGGTCAGACCTGCTTCTCAGTGTGATACTCTCACAGTCTTCCATGATTCTCTCTCTGCCCCGCCCCCCCCCCACACACACAAGCATTCCCCTTAATAAAATTCTTATTTGGGTAATCCCATCTGCTTCTTAGAAAGCCTGAATTGGCATATGCTAGAAGACATCTGTATCCTTGTTTTAAATAGTAAATAAACACATGTGATTTCTTCTTTGACTCCATGTTGGCAATAAGTAAAGTACAATAATAGATGGAATCACAGGGACACACAAAGGCAAGTCAATAAGCATTCCTGAAAGATCATAAACAACCTTCATTAAACAAAAATATTAAATGGTGGAATGATGGTGTTTTTACATATCCCCCATCTAGCTCTACATAGTTCTCAAGGCAGGATTTCCATCTTTCTCACCCTTCCCCAAAGAATGCCAGGTTCTTCAGTGTGCACCACATTAGACCAGCAGTTGGGGCATACCTCGAAGGATAAGGATGAGAGATATAGGATGGATG